GTGCTACCAAGTGCAGCGGGGCTGCCGTAGCTTAGCGCTTGAGGAAGCGTAATTTAGAGCATCGACCTTTTGTTCTTTACAAAAACCAATACGAGTGTAGCGGATCGCAATTCGCTAACTCCAAGAGTAGTTACTACCTTAGCAAAGGCGAATAAACTCTTCTATTTAAATAAAAAACTGACTTTTCGTTTTTATCTGCGGCTAAACCACCTAATTTTAAATGTATAGATTTTACTAAATATATGTAGAAAAATCCAAAGTCATGCATAACTGCTGGCTACCTAGCCACATACCGTATTTTTGTTTGGGTGCAGCCACACCATGCCCATCTCGTGTGACACACGACTGTTACCAGGGTACATATAATCCCGTTACATGCTATAGAACAGAAGTCACCGACCTTAGCTTAGTTTCCACTAAGCGAAAGAGCAAGGTGATCCACTCTCACCGGCGTTATTTGTACTCTACATTGAGCCATTATTAAGCTATCTCCAAATCCAGCTCAAGCCCCACGGTCTCAAGCTACCAATTTCAGAGGAACCACACACAGTTATCAGCTTTGCAGATGACTGTATAGGGCTTCTCGATGATCTCTCTGTTGTTCCTCAGTTTTTACAACGTGTCCAGGAGTATTGCTCGGCAGTGAGCAAGAAGAAACTGAACACACACAAGACTGTCATACTACCTCTACGAGAATGGACAGATGAAGATCGAGTACTCTATGCCCAGCTGCAACAACTCGGGGTACAAGTCACAGACAATACCAATGAAGCCAAGCTTCTCGGTATTCGATTTGGACCGCGACTCTCCAATTCGGATTGGCTGCACCATCTCATTGCCAATAACCAGTGTTGTACAGTGTGGAAACACCGCGCAAGGACTTTAAACGGCAGAGTGGCGTTTCTTCAGCAAATTGTGTCACCCACTCTCTGGTACACAGCCAGTGTATGTCACATCCCGCAATCCAGTTTCCAAGATCAAATCAAAAGTGTCATTGCGACTATTTTAAGCGACTCTAGCACTCCTAGCTCCAGATTATCAGCTATCCTGGCCACAGACTGGCTATACACTCCAAGATCCCAAGGAGGTCCCGGTCTCACACAAATCGAGGACTCTGTGAACGCACTATAATTACATGTACTTGTCCGTGTGATTAACAGTTTGCGAAACTACCATCACTTACTTCCAGTTGGGTGTCCCCTATTGTTGAGGTCTTTCACCCGGCAATGGCGCAATGGGGTCGGCCCCTTGATATCCTATATGCTCCGGTAACAACCAGTCCCAACCACGCCAATACTCGACGTGAAAATCGCTGGTCTGCTCGAAACAGCTTCTGGCACCAGGTGCTGTTTGTGTGGCATACGAAGTTGAGACCCTAAATACCAGCCGTACAAGCGAATTCGACTTATTGTCTATGCCGTTATTGCCCAACGCCATGATACGACATAGAAGCAAAGATCGCACATTAACTACAAGATTGTCGGCACTCGTACAAAGACTCGCCCAATTCCAGCTCTATACGGCAGAAGGTATATACGGTCTCTGTGGAAATGCACCTACACCGGCGTCGCTTGCTACAGAAATTCAACGTCCAGGTGACCCAAGAGCGTATAACACACGGTATTACAGGAACTTTCTTGTAGACTGTAATATTGCGCTTCGGGTACTCCATCATTTACCCCACGGCCCTTGTCCAAGTCAAGTATTTGTAAGTGCTTTCCATAATTGGTTTATTGAAGACCACCCCCTAGAGGGCCTCACAGTTGCTAAGATCCGGAGCGTGCGTGAATCTTCCGAGCCTCTTGTGTTGCCAATACAGCGATTAGGAATCTCGGAAGCCCCTGGACCCGACTTCTGGATACGATACCTAAAATTAAACAAGCATCCCCTCCCAGTCAATGCTGACTTTCTTTTCTGACTCCAGCACAACGCCTTGTATTTAGGCTATCGATTCCAGCATATCCAAGACGCCAAGACAACCTGGCAGTTCGACTGTGAGCATCTTGAGACCCCCCAGACCTGTTCTGGATTTGGCCCTGTGCCTCACAGTTATGGGACCCTTTTCTCCAGCCTCTCCAAAGAAGTTTTTTAAGCGAGCTTTTCTGGGGAACACTCGTGCACTTCTCCAGACTCTAGCCTGCTCAAGAAGACAAAAACAATACGGCTTTACTCTCTTTGTGGTATTGAACTTTGTGCGAGCCATTGTAACCCGCTGCATATAAGACATGGGTTTTGATACGAGTCCAGCAACACCGAATGACTAAGCATCTTGTGGACAGATATGGTAGTTTGAAGACAACCCAGTAGAGCTACAAACCAAGTCGAAAATGCCAACCGGGTACGTTCGTACACAAGAATTAATCCCATCCGGCTTCTTGAAACGGCTTATGCGGAATTATACATGGGTGTGGGCAAGTTCCACCCGTCAAACTCCAAGCCTGACTGTATTGAGACTTACCCGAAGGTAGATCGGAATATGCCATCCCCTTGAGTATGTTACCAGTCCCAAGAAGCGCTTGCACGCGACAATTACCCCAAGCTTCCCAACTTTTGGTTTGGTAGACTCCTAACCCTCGAGTTTTCAGATCCTAACCGTCGGATTTTAATTTACCATGATTTCATGGCGACCACTATTGATCCAGGGACCAAACTCTGTGCCTCGTCGAGGTCATTGGTGATTCCACCACGTCCCTCAGGTGACGAGAATTCAAGAAACGGACATGAGGTCCGCAAGGCGCGAGCAGGGCTCGTATCACGACGCTGGCGCCGCTCGACTTCCTCGTCATCCCATGCGGGAAAGAAGTGTCTGACTCGTAGTCGGCCACCTCCACATCCTAAACGAGGTCACTCGTCACTAATATTGTACGCGGAGCGCGACGCTCGTGCTTATCGAGCCCAGGATGTACATCCCTAGGTGCCGCGGACGCACTGTCCGAAATTGCACT